GTTCTATTTAATTGTTTTTAAACACGAATGTTTGCCAAAATAATTTATAAAGCAAATGGATAAAAAATATTTGTATAAATAATGACTTAACACTGTTTTGTTCTTGATTTAAATAAGCAAAGAGAAATTTGACTGAAAAGAGATATTTCTTCTTGAGCACCGCTGCTTCAAGACACTCTTTCTCTCTCTCTCTCTCTTTCTACAGTGGGGTATCATTGTTTCTTTTTCTTTGCTTCATTTATTGTGGTCGTTCTTGCCATGGTACAATGATATGAAGGTAGGGCTATGATACCATATGATTTCAATTTTTTTTATTTTCTTGGCTTAATATGTCATCTTTATTTGTTTACGTATGTGTTTTCTTTTCAATAACAAAAAAATTGATCAGAAAACATTCAAATTCGGATGTTTTCAAAATGTTTATTTCATCGTATGCATCGACAAAATCTAGAGTTTTTGTAGCGAAATAATCCTTTAGAGATATATAGAACCTGGTTTTGAAAATAAGTGTTGACCTTTCATTCAGTTTTCGCGGTTTTCAATTATTTATTCAAAATAAATGCAACAAGTTGTTTGATTTTAAAATGGTTTGGATACTAATTCTGACATTACAAGCCAAACAGGTAGACCTCTATACTTGCAATTTTTTCAAAGTTGACCTACCTTCTCTTCATTGTACCATGGTTCTTGCTTCAATTTATTTTTTTTTTTCATTTTATTATTCCTCTTTGTCATTTTTTTTTTTGTGATTTTATTATTCCTCTTATGAGCTATTACTTAAATTCTTACAAAAAAAAAAAAAAAAAAACGCTTAAATTACATCACTGGATGTTGTATTGCCAATTTTGTTGCTCTTTACTTTCGTTCTTTCTAATTGGCATTGACAACTCTTGCTTGATATTGCAATTGCTACGGTTACGTATGGTTGTGTGTGGAGTGCAGTGGAGTTCTCTCTCGCTCTCATTGTGGGGATCTCTTTCTATGCTGCATTTGCTGAGTTCTTCCTCTTTCCTCAATTTAGTTCAGTTTTCCTTTAATTGTCTTCAAGTGCGGTTTGCGTGGACGCCATTTCATTTAGAATTTAATCGAATTGAAATAAGTTTATAGTTGTAAATAAAATAAATAATTCAAATTGTAATTAAACGGTTACTGTCGCGAGTGTATTTATTTAAATATTGTGTTTTAAATGTAAAAGTATGATAATGTAAGAAAATGAAATGCAAACTGTGGCTTTTAAAGCAAAGACGGGCAGAGAGCCGATGTGCCGTCTAATTCTCTCAATTTAAAGTCTTGTCATGTTGGTGCAATAGTGTTTTTGTTTCCGTCATTTTTTCGGCCCAATTGGAATCGTGCAAATTGTGTTGGGTGCCAATATTTCGCGAGTGTTTTTATTTAAAAGCAGGGTTTACTTATAACATTGTGAATTTTTTGATGAGATAAATGAGTGCCGTTATGAATGAAGATGAGATGTGGATAAAAGGTAAGAAGAAGCAAATTTATTGAACTTGTTACATTTTGCCCTTTTTGACTTCTTACAACGGCGTTGTTCGTTAGTTACTTTTACTAAACTGGCGAAAAGTCATGGCTTTTGGATAATTTCTCTTTCTATACCCTCCACCATACATAGTATGGAGGGTATATTAAGTTCGTAATTTCGTTTGTAACTCATCATCATTCTGTTGTAATCACGCTAGACTTAAAACGAATAAAGATATGAAGCTGAAATTTTGCACAGATCACTCTTTTGTCTGCAGTCAAGTTCGAAGATGGGCTATATCGGTCCACGATATCCTATAGCCCTAACATACCCCCTATATTCAGTATTTTGATGATTTAAGCATTTCAATGGAATCGCCTGCAATTTTACACAAGGAATTTCTTTGTAAGTGCTTTATTCCCTATATTCGGTATTTTGATGATTTTAGCTAAATTTTTCCATGGAATTGTCTAAAAATCCATACCAGAAGTTCTTTTTAAGTACTTGATCCTTGGAGCCCACATGGGTTGCCCATATTCGACGGACCCATCTGGCAACGCCATAACTTTTGACAGAGATGTCACATCGCTTAATGACATACCGCGTTTGAAGCGTCAGTCCAAGCAGATTTTTACCATGAACCAATACACGCCACGCGAGCGCTCTGAAATAGTTGAAATTTACATTCAACAGAAGAAGTCAATTGTGAAAACTCAACGTGCTTTTAAAACATTAAAAAATGTGAGAAGTGCGCCTTCTAAGAACACCATTAAGCGTTTATACGACAAATTTTCGACTGGTAAGGCTCTTTCTAATCCGAAGAGGACATATAAAAGTCAACCAAGACGATCGGCCGAGAATATCGCTGCCGAACGAGCCAGTGTTGAGAGGTCCCCAAGAACATCCCAAAAACGCCGTTCTCAGCAGTTGGGCATGGCTCGGTCCACTTTACAACGGATTATTCGCATTGATTTGCATTTGTTCCCGTACAAAATTCAATTGACGCTAAGAATGTTGCCTGCGGACAAGCCTCGTCGATTGGAATGGGTCCATGGGTCCGTCGAATATGGGCAACCCTGTACAACGGTACCCCCTTGATATTCGATATTTTGACAATTTAAGGGACATTATTCACCGGATTTGTTTCAAATTTCGTATTAAGAATTCGTAGTGGGAACTACAGCCTATGACAAAAAAATGCGTATGCAGGTCCACGTCTTCCTATAGCCTCCAAATAACGGTACCACCCAATATTCGTTACTTTGATGATTTTAGCTACATTATTTACCGGAGTTGTTTCAAGTTTCGTATTTAGAATTGGTAATGGGAACCACATTCTATGCCAGAAAATTGTCTATGCAGCTGATTTTTTTCAACTTTCGTATTTGAATATTATAATGGCTTATAACAAAATTTTCCTACGCAGGTCCACGTCTTTTATAGACCCTATATAACGGCTACATTCGGTATTTTTAAGATTTTAGTAGAATTTGTTTTGTTTCTTTGCAACAATTCAACTTAAAGTATCAGTTGTGAGATATGACCCAAGTCAAGTTTAGGGCCCTCGTGGATCAATTTAAAAATGTTGCCACAAGAAGCTCGGTCTTCTTGGCAGCAACGGAACATTTTTTATGGGCAAATCCTTTCTTTCCGAATACAGGCTCCAATGTAAATTTAAAAAACTGTTAAGGAATTTAAATTGCAGATTTTAAAAAAAAAAATACTCTTAAGGACCTGATATAGTAAAAAAAATATTAATAGAGGGAGTGAAATTTTGATTTTTTTTCAAGTAGCTGAAATCGCCTATTTATACCCTTTTTATACACATACACCACCACACAGTGGCAAAGGGTATAATGTCTTTGTGCATTTTTTTTGTAACATGGTGAAGGAAGCGAGGTAGACCCCCATAGTTACTTTTGAAGATCGTCAAAGAATCACTTTCTGAGTCGATCTGTCCATCCGTCCGTTCATGTATTTTGCCAACAAAATGCAGGTAGCAATAATTATCTAATTGAGATGAAATTTTCCACAAATCATTTGCTTGGTCTAAGGACGAACCCTATTGAAACTGGTGATAATCGGTTCAAATTTATATATAGCTCCCATATATATCTTCAACCGATTTCGGGTTAATTGTGCACTTAATGGCGACTATCAGCCCAAATGAACTGAATCTTGGCAATTTCGACTGAATTCATCCGAGAAACAAGTACCTCAAATTTGGAAATCGGTTCAGATATAGCTATAGCTCCCATATAAGGATGAGATAAAAAAATTTAAAAAAAGTGAATTATGGCCTTCAAACGGCCAATGAAACCGTCACACGCTGCCATTGTGCCCTGGCAATGAAGCGAGGAATCTGATTTTGTAACCATTCTTGGGTGGCGCGTGCTGAGTGCTGAGAGTGATTGTGCTGAGTCCTGTTGTAATGTGCGAGGTCTGCGGCCAAAATATGTGAGTGCCCAAGGCTTTAGTACACCCTCCCGAATATTTTCGCGATAATATTCGGTACTTATTCTGATACCATGGTCCAATGATACGAGCGGAGAGTGACCATTGGTTATTATGGCGGCCCACACCATCACCATGGCCGGCGCTTGAGTTCTGGTGGCCAACCGAAGGTGCACATTTTCAGGTGACCTCTTTGGCAAGTAAACACGATCATTTTGTTTTTTTACAAACTGCTGAACAACGAATGTTTTCTGATCGGAGAAAACCAAATTCGACAGTTCACCACTTTCAGCCTTATCGAAGCAACTCTTTAGCTCTTTTTTCTCTATTTTGTTTCAGATGCGGTGTAAGTTCTTGCACTTTTCGGAATTTCAATGGCTCATTTTTAAATATTTGTTGAATAGAATATTGCGATATGTTCAGCTCCCGAGCCATTTTTAGCCACTTCGACGCGGTTTACGATTCGCTTCTTTACTTTTCGAACCATTTCTGCTTATGTTGCTGTTTTCTTCCGCCCACTTCCTTGACGTCGGCTTACGCTACCAATATCACGGTAACGAGCGATAGTACGAGACACTACGCTGGAGTGCTCCAACGATAGCCACTTGTGGTTTTCCAGCCAAATATAAAGAAATCACACTATAACGCTAGAATTCCATTACGAATAACTTTTTTTCTGGAAACTTCTTACCAAAATGCTTTTGTACGCCTGTAAACAATTTAATGAACTGTCACTGGAATAATTTTAACAGCTGTCGGACGAGTAGCTTAGAAATGACAGCAGTCTGAAGTTGGTTTTTTCATCTCATTCTCCAATTGTGAATACTTCAGAGCCATGATAAACATTCAAATAAGGTTCATAGTCATCTACTTCACATAAATTCCGGATATAAACTTTTTTGTTACGGGAGCTCTACTAAATACGCATATTGGTGTGGGGTATCATATGTGCGGCCCCGGTCGGCTTTTGACTTTTTCTTACTGTTTTTTTTTTTTTTTTCCAGAAACTCAATAAAATTGTGGATTTTTCACAAATATTTTCAAGAAACTAAAACGTTTATTCTTTTTTTAATTTCTAATTCCAATTCCTAAGAAAATCTATTTTTATTCAATATTTTTTTTCTACTCTAAACATATAAAACTAAAACTAAGCATAGCAAAGACGTTATAAAATAATTCCATAAAAGACTAGAAGCTGATGCAGCTTTTTCGTTGATGTCGTAGAAACGTACTGTCATTGTAAGGGGTACTTCGATCAGTTCATCCAATGAAAATTCCAAATCATGACGTTCACCCAACCACAAGGAGGCATGTTCCACGCTACGATGATGTTGCTGTCCTGGCGCGGTATTAAGGTACACATAACCCATATGGAATTCATAGGCCAAACTCAGCAGAATATTGCGGCACACAAATGTACCAGAATTCTCCAAATATTGACCAAATACCTGATTGAAATCGGTATTGAAAACATTTAGCTGTATCCATTGATGCGAATGATTTTGGGGTTTACCCAATTTGGAAATGTACAACGAGGTGATATCTGTGGCATTGAGATTTCCATTGAAAAGTTGTTCATTAATGCGATTTTGCAGGTCCAGGCATATTGAGGTGAAGTTTGCCTTTGATGGATCCTCAAGATCTAGGGTGTCATTTTTCATGCGAATTTTACATTGTTTGGCAAAATTTACACCAAAACTTATAGATTCCGCTTGGGAGGATTTTCCGGGACCTCCACAAAGTCCTTTGTGTTTTTGCATAATTTTCAGAGAGTTGATTGCTCCACCACCTTCATTGCCCTGGGAAAAGAAATCCAACACTCGATTCTCATCCGTTAAGGGTAGAGATTTATTGTAGGCCACATATTTGCCCAGGATAATGGGTTTTCCCAATCCATAACCATATGGACCGGAAGAGGGTTTTATTTTCCAAATTTGTCTGGGAGAATCAACATTTTTCTCAATCTCCTTCAGACTTCCATTCACAAATTGTATATCATATGTAAACCAGGACTCTTGGTTGCCCACTGCCGACGCTTCACCATTCACATCCCTATGCCATAAATCCACCACAATTTCATGTATCCTGGTAAAATTATGAAATATCCTTATTTCGATTTCATGGATTTCAGAATTTTCCAAATTTCCCTCAATGACTTCATGGGCCGCTTGGCATTTCCTGGCCATGCACCAGCGCAGGGTTATGTTTCCTGTAAATTTTCTGAGCTGTTTTGAATCATAGATATTTTCCGGGAAATTTGGGGATTTTACAACTCTAAAGTTTTCGTGTAAATCAATTAATTTCAACTGAATCTCCTCTAGGTTCTCACTGTGCTGAAGACAGGTGCGTTTTTGTGATTTTAAATATTTTATGGGCTCCATGGTCTGGCAGTAGGGAGGTTTTAGGGATGAGGGGAGATCTGAAAGGATAAGATGGGGATAAATTAGATCTACAATTTTTACAAGTATTTTCTCAAGGTACCAGCCAGGGTGGATTAAAAAAAATATTTTCCAAAGGACCAAAAACGTGGAATTTAAAAAAAAATATCTTTTTCAAAGACCAACAGAGGCATGGATTTTTTAAAGAATATTTTTTCAAGGACCATCCAAGGCGTGGATTTTTTACAGAATATTTTATTAAGGACCATCCAAGGCGTGGATTTTTTAAAGAATATTTTTTCAAGGACCATCAAAGTTGTCGATTTTTTACAGAATATTTTTTCAAGGGTCATACCAGGCGTGGATTTTTTAACGAATATTTCTTCAAGGACCATCAAAGTTGTCGATTTTTTACAGAATATTTTTTCAAGGGTCATACCAGGCGTGGATTTTTTAAAGAATATTTCTTCAAGGACCATCAAAGTTGTCGATTTTTTACAGAATATTTTTTCAAGGGTCATACCAGGCGTGGATTTTTTAAAGAATGTTTCTTCAAGGACCATCAAAGTTGTCGATTTTTTACAGAATATTTTTTCAAGGGTCATACCAGGCGTGGATTTTTTAAAGAATGTTTCTTCAAGGATCATACCAGGCGTGGATTTTTTAAGGAATATTTTTTCAACGAACATCCAAGGCGTGGATTTTGTAAAGAATATTTTTTCAACGACCATCCAAGGCGTGGATTTTTTAAAGAATATTTTTTCAACGACCATCCAAGGCGTGGATTTTTTAAAGAATATTTTTTCAACGACCATCCAAGGCGTGGATTTTTTAAAGAATATTTTTTCAACGACCATCCAAGGCGTGGATTTTTTAAAGAATATTTTTTCAACGACCATCCAAGGCGTGGATTTTTTAAAGAATATTTTTTCAACGACCATCCAAGGCGTGGATTTTTTAAAGAATATTTTTTCAACGACCATCCAAGGCGTGGATTTTTTAAAGAATATTTTTTCAACGACCATCCAAGGCGTGGATTTTTTAAAGAATATTTTTTCAACGACCATCCAAGGCGTGGATTTTTAAAGAATATTTTTTCAACGACCATCCAAGGCGTGGATTTTTTAAAGAATATTTTTTCAACGACCATCCAAGGCGTGGATTTTTTAAAGAATATTTTTTCAACGACCATCCAAGGCGTGGATTTTTTAAAGAATATTTTTTCAACGACCATCCAAGGCGTGGATTTTTTAAAGAATATTTTTTCAACGACCATCCAAGGCGTGGATTTTTTAAAGAATATTTTTTCAACGACCATCCAAGGCGTGGGTTTTTTTAAAAATATTTTTTCAACGACCATCCAAGGTGTGGATTTTTTAAAGAATATTTTTTCAAGGACCAAAAGAGACGTGGATTTTTTTAAGAATATTTTTTCAAGGACCAAAAGAGACGTGGATTTTTTTAAGAATATTTTTTCAAGGTCCACCAGAGACGTGGATTTTTTTAAGAATATTTTTTCAAGGACCACCAGAGACGTGGATTTTTCAATGTATATTTTTTAAAAGACCAACAGAGACGTGGATTTTGTTAAGAATATTTCTTTCGAGGACCAACAGAGACTTGATTTTTTTTAAAGAATATTTTTTCAAGGACCGACAGAGATTTGGATTTTTTTTTCAACGACCATCCAAGGCGTAGAATTTTTAATAATATTTTTTCAACGACCATCCAAGGCGTGGAATTTTTAATAATATTTTTTCAACAACCATCCAAGGCATGGATTTTTTTAAAGAAATTTTTCAACGACCATCCAAGTGTAGAGTTTTTTAAAGAATATTTTTTCAACGACCATCCAAGTGTAGAATTTTTTAAAGAATTTTTCTTTCAACGACCATCCAAGTGTAGAATTTTTTAAAGAATATTTTTCCAACGACCATCCAAGGCGTGGATTTCATAACAAATATTTTCTAATGGCTCAAAAAACGGGGATTTCATAAAAAATATTTTCCAATGGCTCAAAAAACTTGGATTTCTTAAAAAATAGTTTTAAGGTATTAAAAACTCCGATTTTTTTAATTTTCCCAAGGAACCAAAAAAACGTGAATTATTGAAAAATATTGTTATTGTCTTACCGAAATTCTGCACATCCTTTGTCTTCATATTCAGCACCTTTATTGGGTCGCCATACATATAAAACTCTCGGTTGGGAGGTGCAACATCTTCCCTCAGCAAACTTGGCCATTTGTAGTAATGAGAGGTATCGGAAAAACTCCCTGAGTCCTATAAATACAAAAGATATTAAGAACTGTTATCCCATAAACCCTCTCCCTCCCTCCTTACCCCTCCTACCATGGCAACCGCTGTTGGCAAATTTGTTTTGAAAACACACAGCCAACCATCCTTTTCCTCACACGTGGGCAGGCCATGTTGAAATTTGAAATCCTCAAAACGTCCCTCATGCAATTCAAAATCATTTAAGGTCTCTTTGAGGCATTTGAATACCTTCAAAGCTTCGGCAGGACAATCAGGATCACAACAACAATTAATGTCACAACCATTTATAGTTAAATCACAAAAACAATATCTGGATTTTTGACCCACATTCTGAGAAGAGAGGGCCGAAGTTTCTCCGGCTATGTCCGTTGAATTGGTAGTATCAGGGGCAATTGTGGTGGTAGTAGTTGTGGGAGATTTTGTTGCTTTGGATTTTTTGGGCTTCTTTGTCGTGGTACTTGGTGCCGTAGTTGTGGTTGTCGTCGTGGTGGTGGATTTCATAGGGCTGACTTCCTTTCTGGGTGGAAATTCGGGCCATTCGGGTTCTGTGGTGGCTATCGGTGGAAGTTCTGAAGAAATGGAGGAAATTTCTGTTGAAGTTTCTCTATCTTCAGCAAGGTTTGCTTCCTCCGTTGTCGTTATTGCTGTAGGGGTAGTAGATGTTGTTGTTGTTGTAGTTGTCTCTAAGTGTTTTGATATTCCTATCTTAACGGCCTCTAGATAAAGAAGTGAGGGAAGAATTATACAACTTAGGAGTATTAATTTATGGAAAGACATATTTTTGTTAGGGGTTTGGATGGGGTTTCACTTGAACTCAATACCGAATTTGGCAAAGTTACGGAATATTACGTTGATGTCGATGATAATTTTACCCGAGGTGCGGGTTTGCAGTTTGTATCTGAAAAGAGTATAGAAAAATATTTTTTTCAAAGGATTTTTTAAAAATATTTTTTCAAAGAACCAAAAAAAAAAGGTTTTACAAAAAACAAAAAAAAAAAAATCAAAGGACCAATAAACGTGGATTTAAAAAAATATATTTTTTCAAAGGATTTTTTAAAAATATTTTTTCAAAGAACCAAAAAAAATGGGATGTTTTACAAAAAAAAATTTTTTTTCAAAGGACCAATAAACGTGGATTTTTTAAAGAATATTTTTTCAAAGGACCAATAAACGTGGATTTTTTAAAGAATATTTTTTCAAAGGACCAATAAACGTGGATTAATTAAAGAATATTTTTTCAAAGGACCAATAAACGTGGATTTTTTAAAGAATATTTTTTCAAAGGACCAATAAACGTGGATTTTTTAAAGAATATTTTTTCAAAGGACCAATAAACGTGGATTTTTTAAAGAATATTTTTTCAAGCCAAACAATAAACGTGGATTTTTTAAAGAATATTTTTTCAAAGGACCAATAAACGTGGATTAATTAAAGAATATTTTTTCAAAGGACCAATAAACGTGGATTTTTTAAAGAATATTTTTTCAAAGGACCAATAAACGTGGATTTTTTAAAGAATATTTTTTCACAGGACCAATAAATGTGGATTTTTTAAAGAATATTTTTTCAAAGGACCAATAAACGTGGATTTTTTAAAGAATATTTTTTCACAGGACCAATAAATGTGGATTTTTTAAAGAATATTTTTTCAAAGGACCAATAAACGTGGATTTTTTAAAGAATATTTTTTCACAGGACCAATAAACGTGGATTTTTTAAAGAATATTTTTTCAAAGGACCAATAACGTGGATTTTTTAAAGAATATTTTTTCAAAGGACCAATAAACGTGGATTTTTTAAAGAATATTTTTTCAAAGGACCAATAAACGTGGATTTTTTAAAGAATATTTTTTCAAAGGACCAATAAACGTGGATTTTTTAAATAATATTTTTTCAAAGGACCAATAAACGTGGATTTTTTAAAGAATATTTTTTCAAAGGACCAATAAACGTGGATTTTTTAAAGAATATTTTTTCAAAGGACCAATAAACGTGGATTTTTTAAAGAATATTTTTTCAAAGGACCAATAAACGTGGATTTTTTAAAGAATATTTTTCAAAGGACCAATAAACGTGGATTTTTTAAAGAATATTTTTCAAAGGACCAATAAACGTGGATTTTTTAAAGAATATTTTTTCAAAGGACCAATAAACGTGGATTTTTTAAAGAATATTTTTTCAAAGGACCAATAAACGTGGATTTTTTAAAGAATATTTTTTCAAATGACCAATAAAAGTGGATTTTTTTAAAAATAGTTTTTCAAAGGACAAATAAACGTGGATTTTTAAAAAATATTTTTTTAAAGGACCAATAAATGTAGATTTTTAAAATAATGTTTTTTCAAATTACCAATAAACGTGGATTTTTTAAAGAATATTTTTTCAAAGGACCAATAAACGTGGATTTTTTAAAGAATATTTTTTCAAAGGGCCAATAAACGTGGATTTTTTAAAGAATATTTTTTCAAAGGACCAATAAACGTGGATTTTTTTAAATAATATTTTTTCAAAGGACCAATAAACGTGGATTTTTTTAAATAATATTTTTTCAAAGGACCAATAAACGTGGATTTTTTTAAATAATATTTTTTCAAAGGACCAATAAACGTGGATTTTTGAAAGAATATTTTTTCAAAGGACCAATAAACGTGGATTTTTTAAATAATATTTTTTCAAAGGACCAATAACGTGGGTATTTTTTAAAGAATATTTTTCAAAGGACCAATAAGCAGTGGGAGTTTTTAAATAATAGTTTTGTTCAAAGGACCAAGAAACGTGCCTTTTTAAATATTTTTCAAAGGAAAATACGTGATTATTTAAGAATATTTTCAAAGGACAAATAAACGTGGATTATTTAAAGAATATTTTTTCAAAGGACCAATAAACGGGATTTTTAAACAATTTTTTAAAAGGACTACGAAGCGTGGATTTTTAAGAATATTTTTTAAAAGACTAAGAAACGTGGATTTTTTAAAGGATATTTTTTAAGGACTAAGCAACGTTAATTTTTTAAAGATTATTTTTTCAAGGACCATCAGAAAGAATATTTTTTCAAGAACCCATCAGTAAAGGTGGATTTTTTAAAGAATATTTTTTCAAGGACCATCAGAAAGAATATTTTTTCAAGGACCCATCAGTAAACGTGGATTATTTAAAGAATATTTTTTCAAAAGACCAATAAACCTGGATTTTTTAAAGAATATTTTTTCAAGGACCAACGCAGACGTGGATTTTTTAAAGAATATTTTTTCAAAGACCAACGCCGACGTGGATTTTTTAATGAATATTTTTTCAAGGACCAACTCAGATGTGATTTTGTAAAGAATATTTTTTCAAGGACCAACGCAGACGTGGATTTTTTAAAGAATATTTTTTCAAAGACCAACGCCGACGTGGATTTTTTAAAGAATATTTTTTCAAGGACCAACTCAGATGTGATTTTGTAAAGAATATTTTTTCAAGGACCAACGCAGACGTGGATTTTTTAAAGAATATTTTTTCAAGGACCCATCAGGGAACGTGGATTTTTTAAAGAATATTTTTTCAAGGACCAACGCAGACGTTGTTTTTAAAAGGAACATATTTGTTAAAGAATATTTTTTTAAGGATTTTTTAAGAATTTTTTGAAGGATATTTTTTAGGGATTTTTTAAAGAATATTTTTCAAGGACCCATTAGGAAACGTAAATTTTTAAAGAATATTTTTCAAGGACCCATCAGGAAACGTGGATTTTTAAAGAATATTTTTCAAGGACCCATCAGGAAAGGTGGATTTTTTAAAGAATATTTTTCAAGGACCCATCAGGAAACGTGGATTTTTTAAAGAATATTTTTCAAGGACCCATCAGGAAACGTGGATTTTTAAAGAATATTTTTCAAGGACATATCAGGAAACGTGGATTTTTTAAAGAATATTTTCAAGGACCCATCAGAAAACGTGGATCTTTAAGATATTTTTCAAGGACCCATCAGGAAACGTGGATTTTAAAGATATTTTCAAGGACATATCAGGAAACGTGGATTTTTTAAAGAATATTTTTCAAGGACCATCAGAAAACGTGGATCTTTTAAAGAATATTTTTCAAGGACCATCAGGAACGTGGATTTTTTAAAGAATATTTTCAAGGACCATCAGAAAACGTGGATTTTTTTAAGAATATTTTTCAAGGACCCATCAGGAAACGTGGATTTTTTAAAGAATATTTTCAAGGACCCATCAGGGAAACGTGGATTTTTAAAGAATATTTTTCAAGGACCCATCAGAAACGTGGATCTTTAAAGAGTATTTTTAAGGACCATCAGAAAACGTGGATTTTTAAAGAATATTTTCAAGGACCCATCAGAAAACGTGGATTTTTAAAGAGTATTTTTAAGGACCATCAGAGAACGTGGATTTTTTAAAGAATATTTTTTTCAAGGACCACCAGTAAACGTGGATTTTTTAAAGAATATTTTTTTCAAGGACCCATCAGAAAACGTGGATTTTTAAAGAGTATTTTTAAGGACCATCAGAAAACGTGGATTTTTAAAGAATATTTTTTCAAGGACCACCAGTAAACGTGGATTTTTTAAAGAATATTTTTCAAGGACCACCAGTAAACGTGGATTTTTAAAGAATTTTTTTCAAGGCCAGTAAACGTGGATTTTTTAAAGAATTTTTTTTCAAGGACCACCAGTAAACGTGGATTTTTAAAGAATATTTTTTTCAAGGACCACCAGTAAACGTGGATTTTTTAAAGAATATTTTTTCAAGGAACCAGTAAACGTGGATTTTTAAAGAATATTTTTTTCAAGGACCACAGTAAAAACGTGGATTTTTTAAAGAATATTTTTTTCAAGGACACCAGTAAACGTGGATTTTTAAAGAATATTTTTCAAGGACCACCAAAACGTGGATTTTTTAAAGAATATTTTTTTCAAGGACCACCAGTAAATGGATTTTTAAAGAATATTTTTTCAAGGACCACCAGTAAACGTGGATTTTAAAATATTTTTTCAAGGACCACCAGTAAACGTGGATTTTTTAAGAATATTTTTTCAAGGACCACCAGTAAACGTGGATTTTTTAAAGAATATTTTTTTCAAGGACCACCAGTAAACGTGGATTTTTAAAGAATATTTTTTCAAGGACCACCAGTAAACGTGGATTTTTTAAAGATATTTTTTTCAAGGACCACCAGTAAACGTGGATTTTTAAAGAATATTTTTTCAAGGACCACAGTAAACGTGGATTTTTAAAGAATATTTTTTCAAGGACCACCAGTAAACGTGGATTTTTAAAGAATATTTTTTCAAGGACCACCAGTAAACGTGGATTTTTTAAAGAATATTTTTTTCAAGGACCACCAGTAAACGTGGATTTTTTAATATTTTCAAGGACCACCAGTAAACGTGGATTTTTTAAAGAATATTTTTTCAAGGACCACCAGTAAACGTGGATTTTTTAAAGAATATTTTTTCAAGGACCACCAGTAAACGTGGATTTTTTAAAGAATTTTTTTTCAAGGACCACCAGTAAACGTGGATTTTTAAAGAAATTTTTTCAAGGACCACCAGTAAACGTGGATTTTTTAAAGAATATTTTTTTCAAGGACCACCAGTAAACGTGGATTTTTTAAAGAATATTTTTTTCAAGGACCCAGTAAACGTGGATTTTTTAAAGAATATTTTTTTCAAGGACCACCAGTAAACGTGGATTTTTAAAGAATATTTTTTTCAAGGACCACCAGTAAACGTGGATTTTTAAAGAATATTTTTTTCAAGGACCACCAGTAAACGTGGATTTTTTAAAGAATATTTTTTCAAGGACCACCAGTAAACGTGATTTTTAAAGAATATTTTTTTCAAGGACCACCAGTAAACGTGGATTTTTAAAGAATATTTTTTCAAGGACCA